TACAGAATAATGAGACAAATCAATTAGTGTAAAAAAAATAAATAATTGTTTAAAAAAATACATTATAAATAATTTCATACTTTTTCTTAAAAACAATTAGTTTTTTTTTACTAATTGATTTGTTTCATTATTCTGTACATAAAAGTATTATGGTAAGATTATCGAAAACTAAATATTTTACGAGATATTTTGTTTTTTATATCAAAATATGTCAGATTAAAATATAAAATAACTCAAAAAGTACTTAATAAAAAAATACTTTATTATAGTGTTTTGGAAAGCTTTTGGGATAAGCTATAAGAATATGTAATAAAAAATGGGGAGTTCCATTTAAGAAAACATCGACCACATTGACCTCATCTTGAAAAGACCACTTAAGGTCAAATCCATATTTTTTGATATCTCACTTCGTTTCCGAAAAATATGCCCGCGTCACTATAAATGCCGCACCCTGTATATGTATATTATTGTTTAAAAATTATATTATTTTATTATGCAGTTTTCTGATCGATTGTTTCTTGAATAGAACGACTCACGGAAACAATAATGATTTTAATAATTCCTGATTTAAACGAAAACACATGTATGTATTATTAAAATTGTTATCTATATATATAACGTCTTTAATATTTCTAGTCGTAGCTGTGATGCATGGTAACGCGTTAGTTCGTGTTATGTATTATACATGGACTACGAACGAACGCAGCTCCCATAATTTCCGCAGGTTTCCACCTTCATCCCGGATCGCCATTTCTATCCCCTGTGCTTCGTCCATCACATTTTCAATTTCCACCACGTTTTCCGTTTTCTGCTTCAGGGCTGCTTCGGCTTCTTTTGATTACCGGGGATACTTCGACAATGCCGTTTCATTGGTCGTCGTCAGTCTTACCGTCGGCTATAGTGACTGATTCAATCGTTCAACGAGTTCTTGCTGTTAATATTTCAATAAAATTTATTTATAGATTATCTGAAAAATTTAAGGCCGATTCTTTTCTTAATGAAAATTTGAGTAAATACCATCTTTTTAACATTAAATATTTTAATTGAGTTTTAAATTAAAACAAAATTTCCTTCAAATTGCGTAATATGCTATAAACTTGTTGACTGCAATCTAATTTTAAATGCATCGCGTTTAAAAATTATAATTTTGACTTGATATTAAGATTTCTATTTCCAAATGTTACCTCAGAAATCTGCTATTAATAAATACATATACACATGCAAAAACATAACATTGCATTACTTTATAATTGGCTAGGACTTCAATTAGTATGGTTGACGTTTCGGCCAACATTGCGCGCGTGTTGCACTTCACGCAGGTTAAAAAGACGTAAATCCGAGCATGATGGAGCGATGTTTAGGAAATCGTGGTCATGAAACGTCAAGGAGGCGCGTGGCCTGCGCCGACGACGGATGACGATGCCCCGGGAAAAACTAGACTAGGCGTTTTTATGGGCCATCAAATTACACCGACCACCCTATAAAATGTTTAAGCGGACTTCCGTGTAAGATACGCAACTGGCGACTAGGATAATGTATACTTTGGCAAAAGTGCATCTACTTACCTGTCCAGTATACGATCGATTTCGGGAGGATCCTTGAATAGTAGTCACTTCATTTACATTTAGCTCGTTTTTAACTGTCTTCGTGTCTGATCTACCTTCGTGTGGCTTTATCTGTTGAGAAAATTATTTAATTAATTTTAGTTATATTTTCTTCGTCTTGGAAAAGCGCAAGCTCTATGTCTTTTAATATTTTGCATACAAATTATTTTGTGTGACAATTAATGTAGATTCTTATTCAAGCTTTATGTAACCTAAGAGACGACAGGTAATTATGTACGAAAAAATTTATTGCATCAACTCTCTCTCTCTCTCTCTTTGTCTCTTCTCTAATATTTCTTTCGTTGACTCGGAGAAATGAAGACATCAGGAGCGTGTGCAGGTGGATCTGTTCACGACAGAAGCTTCATATTTAGCTTTTACTAATCCAATGTCTCTGACATTGTGAATGAACGCATAAACGACAACAGTCTACGCGGACAACTGCGTCGTTAATATCGCGTGACAAGAATAAACGTCGACCATAATTCAATATTATAATTATACCCTCGTAAGAGGTTTTATTATCCCAATTAATATGCGTCGTTAAAGTAATTGCTAGTAATGTAGACTACTCATATCCATTGTGAACGTTTAGCCATCTTAGATGAACACTACCGTGCCGTTTCGTGAGATTTATAATACATCATATGCATACATCGTATACAACTATTCTGTCTTTCACACACAGAATCTGATAACAGATTACTTTAAAATCTTTTTTTTTTTTTAATTATGAAAAAAATTGTACATTGCAT